CTGACGTGTTTGCGTACAACAGTGGTAACGGTGCGGAGAAAGGAAATGGCACCGATTGTATAAGGGACCCTAAGACCAACCAGTGCGGCTGCGAGGACTCTGACGGAAAATTCACCGCCAACAGAAATAGCTGCAAGTAAGCTGGCCTTCGGTCAAAGATAAATGTTGAACGTAAAAGTATCATGACAGTACTAATAATACTAGTTCTTGCTAAATGATAATTTGTGTGGACTGCGTTGCGGCTCGGTAATGATCCCATCTTTTTCATGAGGTGCCACTGGACATTACCATGGTATCCCATGCTCTCCATACCGACACTTCCAAGACGATTGTTCGGCGCGCTTTCGCTACTACTTGTTGCATCTTCGTGGCCGACAAAGCCAGTGAGTAGGTAAATTTTCCCCGATTGCATCCCATAATTAAATTTACCGGTACGATCTCCCGTTCGCTACGCATATTTATAACAGAGATCATGTGTTCGAAACTACCAATTCCATTCAAAGGCTCTAAAATGATGATATCGACTATCGCTTCAAGCTGCCAAGTCTCAACCAGCGATTTTCCAGCGTCTTCTTTTTTACTTGTGCTTCCAGGATATTGGGGATTCACACGAAATTTTGCCGCAATTGGCCACGTTCAAATAGCCATCATCTTTGACAATTACACGGCACTTCACAGCGCGTTTGGAATCAAGTTTTTTCGTTTCAACGACATTTACACTTCCCTATATCTTCCTTCAGATCATATGGTGGCAAAAATGGACCAAGCTCTGTTGTAAGTATGTTTTACAGCTTCCGTAGTAAACTTTTCGGAATATGATTTAAGTTTGTATGAATCTTAACTTTCTTTTTTATAAGCTTTCGAGCGATTACTACAAGGTATCTGCACTTCCACCATAATGACAATTTAGCTGTGCCTCAAAGTAAATGCCGTTTACACCGGCACGAACGATGCAGTGCCATTCTCATGCCCTCAAGCCTTTCATGGCAACCAGGAATAATTTAAATAAGACGTAGGTAACCTCAACAGGCTTTGAAAATGTGGACGTGCATAAAGCAAAAGACAATGTTGCATAGTACGTCGACAATTTACAGAAATTGACACATTCAAGACGGCTTCATACACCTCAAATACATTTTGGAGCATCTCAAGGATGGCGGACGCTCCACGTCTGAAGCGTTTCACTCGGAGACGTGGAAGATTATACGGCTGTGCTCATCATATTGCATTTTAATTCGAATCTTAGTTATCATCTAGTGCCTTTTAGAATCATGACTCGGACAGTCCAAAAAGGTAGAGAGGCATTACTGAACACTGCACGACGAAACGAAGCTGCTCATACACTCGTCAACCTGGCACAATAATATAGCGGCGAATTTGTTATCACAGCAGTGGGACCACTCACCTTGCACTGGCAATTCTGCTAGATATATCCCTAATCTCCTCCGTCACCGCTTTCGTGGCGAGCTGTTCGGGCAAGCACTTTAATGCACAAAAAGTAATACTGCAAAAGAAAGAAGCGTGTGCTCGGAACCACCTCGCGTAGGAGATGGACAGTATTCCAAAGGTACGAAATGCTTCCTATATAATCTTTCATGCTAGCCTCAAGCTAATGCACTACCTATTAAAGATTAAAAATGTAGGTAACACTGGGAACGGAGTTGACAGCATAGTTCGATGTAGGCATGGTGATTGACTAGGATAAAAACGCTCGATGCGCGAAATGGCGCTCATGATGTGCATGGCTCAGGTGGTGTGGCGATTGGGGACGGTCGCGTTGAGCTTGACCACGATGTAAGCTGGCCACGATGTGGGCCGAGCACGATGTGGGCCGAATACATGGGTCTCGAGGGTGCTTCAAGGAAGTGATGTGGATGCGTCAAGTGCTTAAAGAACATTAATATCATAAATACTATTGTTTATGTGCCTTTTAAAAGTGTCAACAGCGAATTGACACCTTAAGCCTCCTGTAAACACGTAAAAAGAGGCACTGGTGTGCTGGAATGATTTTTTGTACGCAAAAGAAAACACCGGAAGCACAATTACCAAGCTAGTTTGCATCGAAGCTTGTTTGTAGCTAAAGAGTGATCAAGAGATCAAAATGAACGCCTACGATACAATTATGGGGCGTAACAGAAAGGTGCTATATTCGTCGGCGCTACAGCGAGTCACTTGCCTTCTCAATAGCCTAGAGTAAGCTACCATTGAGTCCCATGATGAATAGTGCTACTATTGTTTTAACCAGAAATCGTTTCTGTTCTACTAGAATATAATCGATAGCATGTCGCTGGAACAATGCCCCGCCTACAAACTATTTAAAACAAACAATGCCGCTCTTAGACTAGCTGCAGCACACTGAGTCTTCTACATTCGGACGGATATCCGTAATGAAAATGTCCGAGAAAGCGTTCGTGGATTTTCCAAATTAACGTCTTTCTCGCAAGTAAGGCTTGGTGTGCAGCCTCGTTATACTTTCTCCGCACAAAATACCCGATCGCAAGCTTCTGGCGTACACTATTTGTAGTCGGTCGCTCTAATAAATAGAATGATCATAAATATAGTTGAATACAGAAGTGGTCGAATTAAATTTGGACTTTGGTCCTGTTCTATTTAGTCGTGACCATAAATTCAATTTTATCAGGAATGTCACCGGACTGTCGTGCGAATGATCCCCCAGTAAATCGAATTTATAACTTCTAAGTTGACGCTAATGTCAAACTTTAAAAGTCAAGGGACAAAATTTCCGTAACACTTTGCAACCTTGTTAATCTACTGCTTCAGCCCGTGTCCAGCAAGATGGACTGTGTAAGAACCTCAGCATCAAATTGTTTCCAATAGAGCTTGCTTCCACTTTTTATCACAAGATTAATCAAGAACAACTTTCTATAGGATCATTAAGGATCCTATTCGACACAAAAGTCTCTAAAAAATGTACTTCTCTTCAATATGAGAGACCACGCTGCAACAACACTTCAAAAAGATTCTTCACAAAGTTTATCGTTAATCTGTGGCTGGGCCTTTATCAAGGCATTCCTTTTTTCTTTTTAATAAGAAGCTTAAAAAGCTGACGTCAACAAATACGAAAACGCAGATCTAAATCTAGGGCTCTAAGGTAGTTTTAACCAATACTAACGGCTTAAATGCCGCGGCCATGTATGGTCCAGTTGAAATGTTCTTTTCGCCTTACTCACTAAGTACGAACTGGACCCACATGGGTTTAGGGTGCTCCTTCTTTCCAGTTTATTTTGGGCTGTAAAATGAAATGGTCATCTCCAAAAGGAAAAATTAGAGAAAACATTTATCATTTTTTGGGGTGGAAAATAAGTAAACGGAGCGACACTAAAGCACGTATTCGCTTTTTGATAGTGTAGCGAAGGTTTTTTTCTCTTATTTCGCTACTTTCTTCCACTTTGAAACAATATGCAGCAAGAACGAGAGAGTGCCGAGTTGTGTCTAAATGGCTGCGGCTTCTTTGGTGTTCCAGGCAGCGGCGGGATGTGCTCTGTGTGCTGGAAAAAGACCATGTCAGATCGTCAAGCGACGACGACGACGACGACAGTGGCGTCTCCTCACTCGGAAGAGACAAAAGCAGATGATGTGGCCTCGTGCCAGTCGATTACGTCTTCTATTGAGACGACGAAGAGCAACATTATGTTGTTGGAGAAGGAGACGGAGAAACCTGCAGAGAAACCGGTACAAAAGAACAAGAAGCGTTGCTGGGAGTGCAAGAAGAAGGTGGGGCTTACTGCCATCGAGTGTCGCTGTGGCTATGTATTCTGTGGTAGCCATCGGTTTGAGGACCAGCACGAGTGCAGCTTTGATTTCAAGACGGCAGACCGCGTCGAATTGGCGCGTCGTAACACTGGAGGTGGTGCCTTTAGCAAATTGGAGAAGCTGTAAGCTATTGGTTTGATATGGTCCGGCTTAGTAGATTGGTACCATAGACGGACTGGTGGATGTGGCGATGGGTCGCGATGAGTCAAGTGCTGGCTTTGCGAGCGTTGCTGAATCATTTGATTGAATGAAACGACGAGTGCGTGAGATGAAGGAAGAGAGGACGTGCTGAGAGCGGTGACAGTGCGGTAATAATCGTGATGTTAGAACGAAGATGAAGACCGAGTCATGAGGCATTGCAGCAACAATTTCCCAGAGAATCAAACTTGTCGCCATTTTTTCACTTTATGCAATTTGTGTCTTAGGTACCTGAATTTGATTCACTTTTATTTTAGTCACACCATACATGTGAGAGCAGCTATAGTTGCTCTACTGAATTAAGCGGGACTGGCGGGTTATACATTGTAAAATACGGGTTCGACGAGGTCAAATGAAATAATACGCATTTCTTAAAATTCGCCAGTTAAGCAACCCGAAACATAAACAACGGAATGATTGTAGCTGGTAAAAACTTTTACGTTTGAGATTTTTTTGGTGCTGGGTCAAATCCAATTAATTCTCCTATCGTCCACTACTCTTTAATAAGGATATAGACGGCATGAATGATGCCAGGAATATAGCTATAGCAACACACATAGTTAATACATGGCACAAACCACCCACTTTCGTTGTACAACGTACCCTAGTAAAGTGAGTAGGCAGTTAATGGCAAAGTCCTTATTACAACCCACTTGGAAGAACACACCAAGTGGTGGCAGTAAAATCGAGCAAATCAGACGTGGACAATCTCCCCAAGTAATCGCCATGGCTTTGAATGTTTTAATGTGACTTGACACGTAGAAGACCACTTTTATAATAATCTCTACATAATCTCAATAGATAAAAAAAATGATGGGAATTCCATCCGAGACGCGACGCAAGAATCCTCCATTTTATTGCTTCAACTTGTTCAAAATCTGTATCTTCTAGATTTTTTATCGTTCTAATACTGTAGCTCCAGATCTCAAGCATGTTTTGTACCAATCAAATCTGATTATCATCCGACCATGACAGACCAAGAGCTAGCAGTGACCTGCATGAACATCTGCCTAAATGCTGAACGTCAACTACTTGCTCGTACTTCTCAGAAGCGCCATCACACAAATTGAACCTTCGCGTGGCTAGACAATCAATCACATGCAACTTGAATAGTCCATGGACTTTCTTCGTCAGCGTTCGATATTAACAACTGCTACGTTTGTTTTTTAGCGTTGTATTATATGAGCCTTAATCAGATATTTGTACCTACAAAAAAGTCACGTTAGTAACAATATGTTGTATGCAACTGCTTACGCTGCAACAAAGCAATAACAAGATCAGTTGAAGCTGTTGTCGTGTATGCAAATTGCCTCTTAAAATCCGCAGAGACATCCGGCAATTTTCTTTCTGACCTCGTTAATGATCAGCTCTGCAGAGGTATTGAGCTCTTTCCACATGCTCAAAACTGACGCAGCGCCAACGGTGGATGCAACAGCGTACACTTGCTGTTCGTCAATGTCGTTTGGGCTCAAATTAGAGGCATAAAGCAGCAGAGAGCCACCCCCTGAGGCATTCACGTCTCGGACCAGTTGCTTGGTTAACTCATTCGCGTCCACATGATGGTGATGGCGAAACATCGTCTCGTTCAATGTCGACGCAGGACACACCAGACGAAATGCTACCACCGTAGCTTGCTTAGAGCATGCCAGTGTTTCGAAGAGCTCATTCGCTTCGAGCTTTGCTACAATTTCAGCACAAGTCGATTTATCTTCTCGTTTCAGCTGGTCCGTCGATCTTGACAAGCAAACTTGAAGGCTATCGAGAGCTTTGTCTTTATCAAAGCACTCTCCGACACTGTTGCTGCTGCCGCTGAAACCGATCACGACGAATTGCGTTTTTGGTGTTGATTGCCAAACACCAGTATTTTTAACCTCTAGTCGCCGCTTGCCGCTCAGCTGCACCACGAAGCGGTATTTTGGCAGCTCGGCAATGTACATGACTCCCTTAGCACGCAATGTCCCTTTAGGAAGATGATACTGAATCCACTGATGCACTGCAGCTAGTGGAATCGGTGTAATGCGCTCAAATGCCACCGACTCAAACGCCTGCGAAGGTGCCACATTACCACTTGACTCCGCTACTGATTCTCGCTTTACTCGTAGACGACTTGGCGCAGGCATTAAGGCACCATTCAACAGACTCAGCCCCGTGTTCCATTGACCTTGCACCTTTTCATGGCTCATGCCTCCATTGAATGCATCATCCGGCGGCGCGATATCGAGCACATGTGGCAAGTACACCCGACCATGGTCTGTCTCGTAGATTCGGGCACTGGGAGCATAGTGAACAATAACCTCTCGAGCAGCTTTGAGCTTGTCCTCATCCAGCAAGTCCACTTTGTTTAGCAGGACCACGTCCGCACACTGCAGCTGTCGAACAGCCACGGCGCATGGCTCAACGTCGTTAGCAGCATCTTGAGCCATTGCATCTCCATCCACTACAGTCACTACCGAATCCAGACGTGCGCGCGTCATTTTGCCAAATTTCTCCTGTACTATTGCCACCAACTGCGTTGGATCCATCGTCCCACTGGTCTCTATCACGAGGTAGTCCACATGATTTACAGCTGCTGCATCATCATCTTCATTGAGAACTTGCCACACAACGTCTTTGAATGCATGTAAACTAGTGTTAGCGTCGGCTCGAAGCTTAAAGAGTTTATTGTGATTGCCGTTAAATTGATTGGCCACCAGTAATGCGTCTATATTGATAACAGCCAAGTCACTTACGGCACAAGCTACGCGAAGGTTCAATTTGTGCTGTAGAATATGCTGGAGTAACGACGTCTTGCCGGCACCGAGGAAACCAGTGACAATGGTTACAGGTATACAGCGCTTTTGAGAAGTACGAGCGAGTAGTTGACGTTCAGCATTTAGGTAGAGGTTCATGCGGGTCACTGCTAGCTCTTGGTCTGTCATGGTCGGATGATAATCAGATTTGATTGGTACAAAACATGCTTGAGATCTGGAGCTACAGTATTAGAACGATAAAAAGTCTAGAAGATACAGATTTTGAACAAGTTGAAGCAATAAAATGGAGGATTCTTGCGTCGCGTCTCGGATGGAATTCCCATCATTTTTTTTATCTATTGAGATTGCGTAGAGATTATTATAAAAGTGGTCTTCTACGTGTCAAGTCACTTTGAAACATTCAAAGCCATGGCGATTACTTGGGGAGACTGTCCACGTCTGATTTGCTCGATTTTGCTGCCACCACTCGGTGTGTTCTTCCAAGTGGGTTGTAATAAGGACTTTGCCATTAACTGCCTACTCACTTTACTAGGGTACGTTGTACAACGAAAGTGGGTGGTTTGTGCCATGTATTAACTATGTGTGTTGCTATAGCTATATTCCTGGCATCATTCATGCCGTCTATATCCTTATTAAAGAGTAGTGGACGATAGGAGAATTAATTGGATTTGACCCAGCACCAAAAAAATCTCAAACGTAAAAGTTTTTACCAGCTACAATCATTCCATTGTTTATGTTTCGGGTTGCTTAACTGGCGAATTTTAAGAAATGCGTATTATTTCATTTGACCTCGTCGAACCCGTATTTTACAATGTATAACCCGCCAGTCCCGTTTAATTCAGTAGAGCAACTATAGCTGCTCTCACATGTATGGTGTGACTAAAATAAAAGTGAATCAAATTCAGGTACCTAAGACACAAATTGCATTAAGTGAAAAAATGGCGACAAGTTCGATTCTCTGGGAAATTGTTGCTGCAATGCCTCATGACTCGGTCTTCATCTTCGTTCTAACATCACAATTATTACCGCACTGTCACCGCTCTCAGCACGTCCTCTCTTCCTTCATCTCACGCACTTGTCGTTTCATTCAATCAAATGATTCAGCAACGCTCGCAAAGCCAGCACTTGACTCATCGCAACCCATCGCCACATCCACCAGTCCGTCTATGGTACCAATCTACTAAGCCGGACCATATCAAGCCAATAGCTTACAGCTTCTCCAATTTGCTAAAGGCACCACCTCCAGGGTTACGACGCGCCAATTCGACGCGGTCTGCCGTCTTGAAATCAAAGCTGCACTCGTGCTGGTCCTCAAATCGATGGCTACCACAGAATACATAGCCACAGCGACACTCGATGGCAGTGAGCCCCACCTTCTTCTTGCACTCCCAGCAACGCTTCTTGTTCTTCTGTACCGGTTTCTCTGCAGGTTTCTCCGTCTCCTTCTCCAACAACGTAATGTTGCTCTTCGTCGTCTCAATTGAAGACGTAATCGACTGGCACGAGGCCACATCATCTGCTTTCGTCTCTTCCGAGTGAGGAGACGCCACTGTCGTCGTCGTCGTCGCTTGACGATCTGACATGGTCTTTTTCCAGCACACAGAGCACATACCGCCGCTGCCTGGAACACCAAAGAAGCCGCAGCCATTTAGACACAACTCGGCACTCTCTCGTTCTTGCTGCATATTGTCTCAAAGTGGAAGAAAGTAACGAAATAAGAGAAAAAACAGTCTTCTTCTTCGGGTACTTTCTCTTCTCAGTAGGAAAATGAGAAATGTTTCTCTTTTTTCTCTCCCCCTTTGACGACGTTTTTTCCACGTCACGTTCCAAAATTTAGTCCTTCTTTCTTTAAATAGAGTACTCTATCCGAAATAGTGGGAGTGCTACTGTAAAACTTAATACTAGCTCCGAATACAAAAAACTTAAATGTAATTTGAAGCCGTTAAGTTCGTTAAATTTGTGTGGGTGGCCGTCGCGCGTTGTCTCTGCCATTTGGGCTGACTTTCGTCCAATTATATCGCTCCTTTGTTGCGATATCCAGTGAAAGTACGGTAGCATTTTAGTCAACGATAATGTCTTAGAACATTTATTGTTGCTGGGCGGACGTAGACGCCATTGCTCCCCTCTCTATCTCTCTATTGTTTCTTGATAGCGACTTTATAATAGCATTATCCTCTTGTAATCCACTATCAAAGGGTATTCTAATCCACCTATAAGTCGCCTATAAAATCCTGTGGTTGCTACAGTAAATAAATAGGCTTCGGATCTGTTTCAATCGACTCGTCTGTCCCTAGTGCAAGCAATCGGTGCAAGCTGGATTGTCGCTGCACAAAACATCTGTTGAAAGCATCTCCCTTCGGCTACGTACATAAACAAAGCAGTCAATAACCTGTCAATGGCAATGACGTCTGGTCTCGTGGTTGGGATGCTGGATGACACGCTTAATAGCGTGTACTGTGAATAGAGTTGCATGTCTGCAAGAGCTAATTGAGCAACAATCAATTTCATGGACAGCGCAATGTTGCACGTGTTTAAAGTGTGAGCGTCTGTTGTGTTTGCAGACGAAAAAGTCGATTTGTCATGCGAGACTTTGCAGGGTCGAACGGTCTCTAGTGTGACAAGGAAATGTGCTCATGTACGAGTGTATGGGACGTATTGAAGATCGCCACGTGCTGCAGTGTCTATTGATGTGCCCGAACGACCAGAAAAGTAAGAACGTAAGCTGCAGCGTCTAGACGTATTGTAGTGTTGTCTGTATTGCCAGCTGAGTCTGACTGACTGGGAGTCTTTATGTTGGAAGAGTTCAACTCGGACATACTATTACTGCAGAGTATCAGGAGGTTCATCTAGTGCTGAGTGCTGGTAGTTTCTTACGTTGTACATGAGCACATAAGTTTGCATGGAATGTCGTCAACACGTATGTCGAAAAATGTCGTCAGAGACGCAATGCTTTCAGTCTACAGTCGCAAAATACTTCTGCCATTGTTGTGTATACAAGGTGACAAGGTAGGGTGGTGCAAAAGACATTGTAGGAATGGATCAAGTGCATGACGTGTTGCGAGGTAGATGTCGTGCTGGATTTCAGACTAATGCTAAGTTGTCGGGGTTACGTTTCATGTGGTTAAACGAATTGGTAAGCTCGCGTAAATTACGCGTCAATGTCATGAAAGCATACCATAAAGAAGGAAACTATTACGTGGAACCAAGAGGAGCTGTTGGAGATGTACCAGTTTCTTGAAAGTACAAGTACCCGATCGCGTCGTCGCGAACGGCATGTGCGGTCCGGATTTTGGCATTGAACTACTTTGTTTCAGACTTTACGTAGAAGGCATAGGAATGGTAAGAATCCGGGCAGCTCGGCAACGTTCGACAAGCGGGTAAAGTCACCACGTACCGTGAAGTGCGGTCGATCAGCCCACGGCCGATCTAATTGACAAGCTATCAAGATAGTTTGAGGAAAAAGACGTGAAGTGTGAGCCATGGACCGAGTACCTGCCAAATGTATGTAGTGGCAAGTGTACTATGAAGATCGACAGGAATACGCACAAGTCCAAGTACCCGATGCTGGTCCAATGGAAGCGAAATTGCTGAGAGACTCATAAGTGAAGCATGAAAAAGTATATATTGTCGAGATTGATTGAATGTTGTGATGGAAATCACTGCAGCGTATTGGTACTACTGTACTGCAACAATTACCATCTACAACAAATGATGACCAGCTCCATGTAATACGTGTGATTGTAAATTGGTCAAAGTTGTGGCACATCATGAGCTTAACTGGTACGAACAGGATTATTGCTTGCATGAACTCGAATCTTGGCTTGACTCAATACTATTGAGCATCTTCGACTAGATAAAGGTAGTTGAACCATAGTATGTATCACATCATGGTCGACAGACACTATCATTGTGATTGCAGCTTGCAGTACGCAACTTCCACAATCTTATGCCCTGATTTCCATCTGCAACGACGCTTCCAAAGAGTTTGTCAGTTCGACGACAAGCAAATCAGTCACGCGTTTGTTTTTCAGCTCGAAATTTCGTCGTTTGTGCCGTTAAGTGGTCTCGTAACCGTATCGTTCCTGTTCCTTGTATTTCGTTGGAATTCGTCGTCCTCAGCCTCTGAACTTCCCAGCCGTTTGGCCAGCCGGTCAGTTGCGTGCGACCGTTTTTGAGGTGGTAAAGTCAGGGTTTTGAAGGAAAAACTTCTCTCCTACCACGTGCTTCATCCGTTTGACCAAGTCTTCATTGCAGAAAACTGAACATTTGACATCAGTGAGTACGTTGAATTACGAGATTTCGTGCTGACGACGTCTTCAAAGTGAGACCGTCAAAAGCTTCTACTTTTTCTTACGATTCAACGAGTGTCGTTGCATTGTTATTGCATGACAAGAGCAAAAGAAGACGTGACTTTTATAATGGAAGAACGTATTAGTAGTTCTTACGTTGAATTGAACAAGACACCAAAGAGTTTACAAACTACTCGTATGTCAAATGCTAGTCACTTGTCTCGGAATCGACAGAGTTTTCTAAGTCAAAGTCAGAGTCATGCACGTAGTCGAGTGCTCTCTCATAGTCTGAAACCGTACACGGATTCAGATGCAAACGAGTCCATTTTGCGTGCCAATGCTCCACCTAATTACACGGGTGGTTTCAATGGTGAGATTCCATGTACCAAGTTGTTTGGAGTTTGATGTTTCCATGTTTAAAAGCTCACCTGTACTTGTCTGTAGAAATTATGAACCAAATCAGGGCCAAGAACTACTACACGCAGCAATTCCAACGGATCCAGCAACAAACCAACATGAGTCGATTGCTTTACTTTTCAAACGTAGCTCCTACGTTCTACGAATCGAATTATCTGGCAATTGTTCAAGACTCGTCCGTTTACCGAGTCCGTGCGTGTTTTTTCATTGGACTTGTGGGACTTACGACACTTTACATGAATGAATGGCGATCGGATAAATGGTCCAAGTCTGAAACAAATGGACGTTCAGATGAGGACGAGACGGCCATTATGGTGATGACATTTGGAGTCATGTTGCCAACTTTTTTGTTGGGATTTCTTGCTACGTTTACGAGCATTGGACGGAAGTACTTGGAAAATGTCACTGCAATAGTTTTCGTAGTTGTTGCTGCTATGATGATTGCTAAGAAACCAGTCGAGAAAGTCAAAGGGCCGGTGATTCCGTTGCTTATTTTGCTCATACCCGTCTTTGGTATCACTAGAATGCGTTACGTGAAATCGTGTTGCATCGGTTGGGGCTGTTTTTTCAGCTACTTGATCGTCATGATGAGTGTGCGTAATACGCTTCCAGTGCCCAGTACCTTTGACTCGTACACGGATATCTCGTACCAGGCCATTAATTATGGCATCACAGCTATCGGTGGCATGGTGTCACAATACCGTCAAGAATTGCTGCGTCGTCGCAACTTTTGTTTGCAGTTGCCATTCTCGGGTACGATGAATGCTGATGCTGTTGCAGAGATCAAGACGGACAAGTTTAGCAAGAAGACGCTCATGCATCGCTGGTCACTCAAATTCCGTCACCCGGAAGTCGAGGAGTGTTTTTATCGCTACTGGTATCTCATTGACCCGTTCCCGTACGAGAATCCAAACTCGGGATCACTGCACCAGGGTGTATTCCGTACTATTCGTTTCGCCGTTTGGACGCTGCTGTTGAACCAACTTGTGCTGTTGTTGCAAGATATAAAGTTTCTCAAGGTCACGAAGGACAGTTTGGTGGATGACAGCGATTTGACGTACGCTCTGGTGCTTCGATTCGGTGTGACAGTGCCGCTTTACTTTTCGGCGGCGTTGTTCATGTACTTCCTTGGAAAAGCTTTTTATGCTCGATGGGTGAAGGAGTCGGAAGATGCCAAGAATGCTGCGCTTACACGAGACTCGATGGTTTCGGTTGGCATTAAATACTCTGACGCGGATCTTGAGCGCAAGAGTGACATGTTGGTTGAGGTCGCTAGATCAACGCAGGGCACACCGCGCATGAAGGTCGTTGTGGAAGCAGCACAGGTCAAGTATGCGACCAAGGAACGTGTTTATGACATCCTCATTAACAAAGGCGGATACGTTCGATCGACGCAGATTTTCTCGTCGGTTGTAATTGCCTGTCATGTATGCTGCATGGGTATTCTTCTGCTCGCTGTATCGACAGGTCCGAAAGTTGACGCGTACTTGAAAACGCAGAAAACGGTTCCCGGTCAACCCAAGCCAGTGTACTACATGGGCTTTTTGAATGCGGTGCTCTTTGCTCATCGCTCGGGCTTTCGTGTGCGCTTTATCTATGCGACGTACACGACGTTTGTTGTAGCATTGGGCATCATTATCGCTGCGAGCAGTATGTCACCGGCTCATTATCAGCAGTACGCAGGTTACGTGTCCGTGATTTTTCTCATGGGAATGATGATTTCGCACGAGGAGGAGAGTCTGCGTCGTACATTTTTCGTGCTCAAGTCAATTCGTACGCTTGAGTTTGAAGAGTGGTTTAGCGTTGTGCTACGCATTCAAGGCTGGGTCAAAGAACGCTTTCGCAAGAAATTGCGTGACGTGCGTTCCAAGGGTAGCAAGGATATGGACAATAGTCGGAACATGGCAACTGCTGCGCCAGTGATCATCAATACTTCGGCGCAGATGGCCTTTGCTTCGAGACTTGGAATGTACTCGCAGATGTTCAACATCATTATTGCTATCGCAGACGTCATCACTAGCAGTCTGTAAGTTGATGGAGACAGGAGGTAGGAAAGCGACGGAAATTCTTTGTCCAGTCCATTAGCTAACCAGTGTCTAAAGTTGTTTGATTCATCCTTCGTTGCTTATAATACTTTTATCAGCTTCAAAAGTGTTTGACTTAGTCGAGATCATCGACACTAAAGAATTTTTGATCTCGATCTTGGGACACAGAGCTTTCGTCCTCAGCGTAGGCATCTTTGTAATGACTCGGCGGGTCAAAGTCTTGCCTGTAGCTCTGCATTCGTTGACGGTCATTGCAACTGTTTTTGCGCTCCATACATTGAGAAACGTTGACGTGTCCGGACTCTTGCAAAATGTCAATATAGTATTCGAGTTCTCCCTGGTTCCACTGCATATCTTTCGAATTGGCTACACTTGCTCGTTCCACGAAGTTGGCAAGGTTGTCTAAATCCGGAGAAGCTGAAAGCCACGCGTCTGGGTCGATATTTAAAATCTCCTGTGATCGAGACGACGATGGACTGCTGCTATGTTTTGGACCTGATTCCATTGAGGCGGAAGAAGAGTCTTGATTATGGGTGCTGCTGTTTATATACTCGTCTTGCAAACTGCACATGTAAATATTTGACATTGTAGGCCGTGTCACGTCCGAAATGCATTGGGTGCAAAATCTCTCCTTGCCAGGTTTCTGCGTGCGACTATCAAGTCGAAAGACTGTACACCATTCACGACATTTTCTGCACGTATTCCGACGACAACCCATGCAGAGTTTCAATGAACTACGCAACATCGTGGGTTTCTTCATACACACGTCACAGGAATTACTAGTTGATGGAATTTGATCCGTGCTGTTGGTAATACGTGCAGAATATGCTTTAGCACGAGCGATAACAAGATACTTTTGTACAGCGAGCATTCGGTCGACCATAATCACTTGTACGACACTCCGTGGAAGCGTGCCACCCATAGAAGATGTTCCAATCATAAAACAACCAACCAATTCTTCTTGAAATTGTCGAAAGAGATAACACAACGAGATAACTCCTCGTTTCATCTTGTCTTGATTGGGTGGTAATTCCGCTACTTCGACCGATTTCATGATACAATAGACAAAATATCGTCCTTGCGTGTCAATAATCCGTCCAAGACGATTGTAATAGAGAAAATCACGAGCATGAATTAGAGACGGACCAATGGCAGTTTTCAATGCCATCCATTTAATTCCCGAGAAAATGACGCTGCTGGTAATTGGATTTTTTTCAAAAATCTGAACAATCCGAGCGTCTAGAAACATGTGCATTAAAATACTGGATCGAATCCGCATACTTTCCATATCATCCGCATACGCTCCATCGATCATGTCTTCAATAGAGCCAGGCATGAGTCCACTACAGAGATATCGTCGATTTTCATTTGACTTGATTTTAGTATTACGTTCTTTGTAAACATTTAGAGACTTTTGTCGTCGGACAAGTTTCCAATTGAGTGCCGTTTCCATGGGTTTTGAAGTATTATGGAAGTTGTCGTAGATTTTTAAGGTTTTTTCAATGAGATCATCACTTGATGATGCCAATTCTTCTTGTTGTTTTTTACTAAAGTTTAGACAGGGGAAAGTAGGACACTCTGTCATTTGGTTTTTTAATGAGACGTGTACTAGAAAAAAGGACGATTTAAGAGTGAGATTCGAATGATGCAATGCTCGACACGGGGCGTCCACTCGGTGGGGTATCAATATTGTACAAATTATGCGACCTATTAAACGTCAAGACGATGACAAGAAAAAGTCGAAGAGGAGGGTAGAGTTAAGAAAATAATAAGAATTTAATGGATTTAAAAGTGTGTGCGTTTCGAAGGGATATAGTTTGTGCTTTACATGACTACTGTATAGGTATTAGTTATTTATTGAGTGTTCGGATACTCATAAATTGTATCAATTTAAATTTAACATATTGACAAAATTTATTTAAAGCTGTTGTTACAATTTGTGTCACAATACGTTCTTACGACTTCAGCGTGCATTATGAGTTCAGATCACCACACCTGCATCGGTTCAAACAAATGCACCCTACGATCAAATTATCTAGAATATAAATAACCCCATGGTGTAGATACGTCGCTTCCATTGCGGTCTTTCAATTGTATACAGAGAATGGGTTACGATTTGACATCTTTCAGATTCAAGCGTCGCATATCCATCTGTCGACGAAGCTGAACCTGGACAGTCCGACCCTGTTTGTTACTTGAGAAAAATCCAAACACTGTTTTTTGAATAGTAGTATGAGCTATAGTAGTTTGTATTTGTTGTTGTGTCTGCAAGAGTAGTACTTGCGTATGGTTAAACAAAAAATACGCTTTGATACGATAGAACATTAATATGGTACTATGTATAGAGTGCCACTAAATTTTACTACTAGTACTTCATACTGTGGTAGCTTCGTGGCTGATGTGAGTAACTGACAACTGAATTGTTGTCGCTGCGGGAGAGAATCGGAGTCTGCAATCAGATTGTACTGCAATTCACTATGGTCAACGTCTGACTCTGATGCGGAAGAGAGCGAAAGAATTTGTTTTCTTCATCGGTTAAAACGGATAAAAACGTTGTCAACCACTTTTCCCTTTGCCAGCAAGCCCAAAGGTCGGTCGATTGAAAAAAAAGCTGCGCCCTCTCGCTTTAGGTAATTTGCCAAGCAACAGCTCGACATACAAAAACCGAGAACATATGAACATGGAGAACGCCAAAGTGCGTGGGAACCAGCGCAAATTGACATTTCAACGCCGCAAGAAGCCGACAAACCCATTGCGCGTTGACCCCGATGCTGCCCCTACTCGCACCAGTACGTTTTTTGGCACCGTGGGGTCTCCCATTAAAATGGGTAACGTCGAAATGGGTCGTCGGACGCCAAAGTTGCCGCCTCGTCCATCACCTCAAGACGTGCCCGTGGATTCTGAAGCTGCAACTTTAGACATTAACAAGAAGGCGGCCTTTCGTGAAGAGCTCCGTCGACAACAGAAGGCCAAGCAACGGGCTGAAAAGGCCAACGAAGTTGTGGAGGAGCCTCAGGCTACACTGGACAAGGAGTCTGTGGCCACAGTTCGCAATGACAATGGACGAAAGCATCGGGGTCGTCGGAATTCGACTGAGTTCTTAGGGCAACCGATGGAACCCGTCCAGCAACTTAAGTTGGATGGTGCCAAAAAGGCGAAAATTCCCCATTTTTTGTCTGCATGGTTTAATGCGGGACACGACACAAAAGCAACTACAGATACGGACAATAGTGATGCGGAATCAGCCACTACGGATCGAACGATTATCAGTGCGGAAAAAAAGGATAAAGAAGAGACGACGTTGAAAGGTCAAGAGTCGCACCAGCTGGTGGATGTGGTGAAAAACCCGTCAGTTGAACTGGATGACGTCATACAGGACAAGAGCAAGGCGCGGGTTGCCAATTACAGTCAAAATATTAATTTTAACGAGATTACACTCGGTCGAATGATTGGAGAAGGGGCGTTTGGCAAAGTTCATGAAGGAAAATGGCGTGGCAAAAGTGTGGCCGTGAAGTTGCTCATTTGTCAAGAACTTCGAAGTGACATTTTGAATGAATTTCAATCGGAAGTCGAGATTATGAGTGTATTACGTCATCCAAACATCTGTCGCTTATTAGGGGCGTGCATGGAACCGCCACATCGTGCTTTGGTCGTGGAATTGTTGCAACGGGGTTCACTATGGGGAGTTTTACGAATGAATCGGAAATCCATTGATCAGGAAATGCGATCTCGATTCATTTATGATACAGCCAAGGGAATGTCCTATTTGCATCATTTTGAACGTCCAATTCTTCATCGGGATCTAAAGAGTCCGAATCTGTTGGTGGATAAGAATTTTAACATTAAATTGTCCGATTTTGGACTAGCACGAGTCAAGGCTCATGTACAGACAATGACTGGAAATTGTGGCACCGTTCAATGGATGGCACCTGAAGTACTTGGGAATCAGAAGTACACGGAAAAAGCTGATGTGTTTTCATTTGGAATTGTCATTTGGGAAATCGTGACGGGAGAATGTCCTTACGATGGTATGAGTCAGATTCAAGCTGCACTTGGTGTACTGAATCGGAATTTACGACCCAATATCCCACGTGATTGTCCACCGTTTTTTTCACGGTTGATGAAAGCTTGCTGGAATCGTCAACCGGAATTACGACCGAGTTTCCCACACATTGTCAATGCTTTTCGGACGTATCAGAGCTCAATTTCGGAATCTCGTGCGACTAGCAGCGCTGCAGCATCGGCAAAGGCCGCTATGGCCGCATCGGTTGCTGCTTCATAAACTGCTGCCACTTCGAGACGTCTAGTCTTCGTAGTAGAACTTGGACTTTGTTTTTTATTTTACTGAGGACAAGAGATACCGCTTTGGCGGAGAAGCAAACAAGGGACACACAAAATGATGATACACAATTTCATGTACGCTTGTTTTGTTGATGGATGCTAGTATTGCTTTTGATACGAAAGACAGTTCTGGCTATAAGCTGCTTACATGGTCTTCTTATTACTCTGCTTAGCTTGCAAGTTAGTTTGCGAATCATATTCGATGGGATTTTAGTTGTGCGTTCTAGCTGTGCTTCGTAGAATCACCTTAACGTCCATCACGATTGTTGTAAACTGCACGACAATTCATTCTATAGTATACCAAGTGTTTTGTTGTGATTGAATGTATTGTTGGTTACGTAAAGCTCAACACTAGCTAGGTACGTCTCCTTATCGTCATCTCCTCCTTTGCTTTTTCATGATCTACTGCACTCGTTTCTGCAGAAACATCTACGACTCAACCTTGGAAATGACACCGGCACCAATGGTACGACCACCCTCACGAATGCTGAACTTCATACCAGCGTCCAGAGCAACAGGATGAATGAGCTCAATGTCAATGGCCGTGTTGTCACCAGGCATAACCATCTCCGTGCCGTCCTTGAGCAGAATGTTGCCCGTCACGTCGGCCGTGCGGAAAAAAAACTGCGGTCGGTAATTGCTGAAGAAGGGCGTGTGGCGGCCACCTTCTTCCTTCTTAAGCACATACACCTCGGCCTCAAACTTGGTGTGCGGATTGATAGTACCAGGCTTGCACAACACCTGTCCACGCAACACTTCGTCACGCTTGAGGCCACGCAGCAACAGACCAACATTATCTCCAGCCTGTCCACGGTCAAGTGACTTCTTGAACATCTCGACACCCGTGCACGTAGTCTTGAAACTCGGCTTCAGCCCCACGAGCTCCACTTCATCTCCAGTATTGATAATACCTTGTTCCACTCGACCAGACACGACAGTACCACGACCAGAGATAGAAAACACGTCTTCCACTGGCATCAAAAAGGGTTTTTCAAAGTCTCGAACAGGGTCTGGAATGTACGCATCAACTTCATCCATGAGCTTCAAAACAGCATCCCGTCCAATAGTATGATCACGTCCTTCCACAGCTGCAAGAGCTGATCCCTGTACAACAGGAATATCATCCGCTGGAAAGTCATACGCTTCCAAAAGTTCACGAATTTCCATTTCCACAAGTTCCAAGAGCTCTTCATCATCCACTTGGTCCACTTTGTTCATAAACACCACAAGAGCTGGGACACCAACTTGACGAGCAAGTAAAATATGTTCTCGGGTTTGTGGCATTGGCCCATCACCAGCCGATACGACTAAAATGCCACCGTCCATTTGAGCAGCTCCCGTAATCATATTTTTCACATAATCAGCATGCCCAGGACAGTCAACGTGTGCATAATGACGTTTGTCTGTTTCATACTCGACATGAGCAGTAGAAATTGTAATACCACGTGCTCGTTCTTCAGGGGCTTTATCAATGTCGGCGTAGCTGGTAAATTCCGCACCGCCCGTTTCTGACAAAACTTTTGTAATGGCCGCTGTTAATGTCGTTTTACCGTGATCGACATGACCAATGGTACCAACATTTACATGGGGTTTTGTACGATCAAATGTTGCCATGGAACGGGTGAGTGAACGACCACATTTGACTGAAAGAGGGACTAATTGACGGAGGAAGACCATTGCTCAACACACAATTGAATATGTGGCTCCCGAGTTACGAGTGACTGGCTGGTGTGGCTGAGAGTCAAGGACGGATGGCATGGGAAGATTAACTTGGTATTTGTAAGCATAGAGAAGGAGGGAAGGAGAAGGAGTTTTGACCAATACCAGAGGTGATCAACACAGACTGTTCTGGACACTTTGGAACGCCCGGATGATACCTGTCATTTTTAATAGTGTATACACGTTTTTATAGTGTGTGTATACACGGTCTCGATAGAAAGTCTAGATGCCTTGGAGTGTCGACACAATTAATGGAAACATGGTCAGGAAGACTACAATATACGGTATAAGACAAAGAAATACACCAGGGCCCAATATGATACCAATGATGTATTACCCAGCACTAGAAATATATTCATTAGGACAGGAAACAATAGATGCATGTGATTGCAAAGATTGTTCATAGTGTTGCGACACACGATCTGCCGCTTTATCGACGACAAGGTTGCGCAATATCCAACAGATGCTGCAGTATCTTGCAATCGTCTTTCGATCTTGTAGCTCAGTTCCTTGTGCCTCTTCTTTCTGTGCGTACAAGTGTACGAGGCTGATGATAAGTTTCATGACATTGTGTGGATTGATGACGCTAGTTAATATGGATCAAGATGCTCGGGTTTGACAGCAGCTCAATAGCGAAACTGAGTCGCCGTTTATGGACCATCTGATAACCCCTTACAGAAAAATGTCGTCCATCAGAGTGTACCGAGACCTATGGCCTCCATTACGTCATCAATACGACTCTCAATCTCGTTGGACGTCACAGTATTGGGTAGACTGAGTTTAGAAGCCATGCGCATGGTTTCCAGCACTGTAAAAGACCTATTAAAAAGTGAATCCTCCTGAGCCACGAACCTCGTCACGGCTCGAAACTTCGTATCCCTCGTATCTCTCTCGGCAGTAACGTCTTTCAACACACAAAAGGTACGGTCAAGCATGTGGTGTTCATTCAAGCAAAACGACCTTACCACTTGTTTAGATTCAAGTTCCCTTCTCACCATCTATGGCGTATATAATCTTCACTTTAACTCTATCTTTAAAATAGCGGCATATATGAAGACCAAAAAATATAGCGCTATTTTACAGATAGAGTTACAGTGAGTAGCGGCGGCTCTACGACGGCTCTATTTCAAGACTTTACAATGTAAGTGCCTGACTTTTACCTCGGCGTCTGACCTGGTCGCAAGAAAAGACAAATTCTAGGCTCATTTGGAAATAGACCGTCCAATTGGGAACATTTTTCGACCAACTCGTCCGCATCTGTAGCAGAAAAAGACTGTATATCCGGATGTTCTGAGTAAGTGTGCGTGACCTCACCCCCTCTCCCTTGTCCTGATTGTAGTGTCGTCTTTCTTACCAATCGATGTACCACCCTTATTGACTACAAGTATCGTGTGTCTATTTATTTTCCTGCACTATATGGACTTGAGTCGTGTACATTTCACAATTTGCTTTCAAGCTACAAGAGTCCGTTTCGATAGAGTCCGGTCACAATCAATAGTATACCTAGTAGTAGTGCGTGTTTCTTTGTATTAGACTGTCGAACTCCATCATTTTCTGTCATGGCATTACCATCAACAACAACCCCTTATACGGCTCTAGACACTCTTGAAAATGGCGTCAAAGCTCCATTGTCTTATAATCAGATAGTAAATCCTTGTGTCCTTAGTTGGTATAATCTTAGTTATATTGTATCATGTCCAAAAACAGTCGAGACGTCAACAGGAAAGAAAAGTATCTTGGATAATGTCAGTGGTCGATGTGCACCGGGTGAACTTACGGCCATTATGGGTCCGTCTGGATCTGGCAAGACAACGCTCGTGGACCTATTAGCCGATCGAATTAGTTCTGGACAAATTACGGGTGACATGGAACTCAATGGCGAAATTCGTGTGACAAAGACATTTCGTGCTATAACGAGTTACGTGGCTCAAGAGGATTCATTGCTTGGGTCTTTTACCGTGCTGGAAACCATGCGCATGGCTGCGAAACTCAGTTTACCCAATACTGTGACGTCCAACGAGATTGAGAGTCGTATTGATGATGTAGTAGAGGCCATGGGTCTCGGGACGTGTCGTCACACTTTGGTGGGCGATATTTTCCGTAAGGGGTTATCAGGTGGTCAAAAACGGCGACTTAGTATCGCTATCGAGTTGCTATCAAACCCGAGCATCTTGATTCTCGATGAACCGACTAGTGGTCTCGATTCTAGTGCCACATATAATGTCATGAAATTCATTGTCAAGCTCTGCACTGAAGGCAAAACCGTTGTGTGTACGATCCATCAGCCATCGTCGCTAGTCTATGACATGTTTACGAACGTTATTGTGCTTTCAGCCGGTCAGACCGTGTACTGCGGTCCTCGCGTCAACATGATTTCACACTTTGCATCACTAGGCCACGATTGTCCGCAGTATATGAACCCGGCCGAGTACTTTATTAGTCTCGTGAATACGGACTTTGAAGACCACGCAGACGTGACCAAGCTCGTGCGCTTGTACGCACAGAGTGAGAGCCACAAGGAACTGACCAACAAGATTGAAAGCGATCGCAAGACGCTGCAGCATTTGTCGGATATTACGCAGCCTTCGCCGTCGTCATTACGGCAGTTCAGTGTCCTCATGTATCGCAACACTTTGAACAACATTCGCAACCCCGGTATTTACTGGATCCGATTGTTCATGTACTTTTGCCTGAGCTTCATGGTCGGTACCATGTATTTGAGCACAAATGATGAACTGAGCGAGGAAGATCTGGTGCCGCTGCTGTTCTACATACAGGCGTTCCTGGTGTTCATGTCGGTGGCAGTATTACCGTTTTTCATTGAGCAGCGGGCTGTATTTGCTCGTGAACGTGCCAACAGTTCTCTGAGTGTGATGAGCTATGTGTGCGCCAACTTTTTGGCGACACTGCCAGGTATTTTCTTGATCGCGGCCATGTCGACGGCGTTGGTGGTGCTACTGGCGGGTCTCAATGCGATCGAATACTTTCTATTGAATCTTTTCTTGTCGCTGGTGGTGTCAGAGTCAATGATGCACGTGATTGGAGCTGCCGTGCCGCATTACATTATCGGTATCGCATTGGGTGCTGGTGTGTTCGGTATGTTTATGTTGTGCGAAGGTTTCATGGTTCCTCGCGACTCGATCCCAACTTACTGGATTTGGGGGTACTACTTGGCGTTCCATACGTACTCGTTCGAGTCTTTTGTATTCAAGCAGTTTGAGAATGAGACGTCGATCGAGGCGAAGGCTATTCTGACAAAATACGGCATGGAGAACGTGGATGTATCACGTGATATGCTGTTGTTGGTCGTGTATATTGTAGCCTTCCAGGCTATCTTTGCATTGATTCTGTGGAAGTTCCATACCGGTCGCCGTTGAGCATGATAGCTTTGTAGACGACAGTATGACTTGATGGGTAAGAGTTAGTCAATATACGTATGATAATAGCTTGCAACAATGGAAAGAAGGGGAAGTCATGACCATGAAATACGACACAAGATTGAATATTGGAGCGGAAGATCAATGGTAGAGGTTCATTACAGAACCCTATGACATCTTACCATTGAGCCATACATTAGAAGCTTCTGATGAAATCTCACCTGTACATCTTGTAGAGTCTCAATCAATGAACCTCTTAGCATTGATCTTCCGCTCCAATATTCAATCTTGTGTCGTATTTCATGGTCATGACTTCCCCTTCTTTCCATTGTTGCAAGCTATTATCATACGTATATTGACTAACTCTTACCCATCAAGTCATACTGTGTCTACAAAGCTATCATGCTCAACGGCGACCGGTATGGAACTTCCACAGAATCAATGCAAAGATAGCCTGGAAGGCTACAATATACACGACCAACAACAGCATATCACGTGATACATCCACGTTCTCCATGCCGTATTTTGTCAGAATAGCCTTCGCCTCGATCGACGTCTCATTCTCAAACTGCTTGAATACAAAAGACTCGAACGAGTACGTATGGAACGCCAAGTAGTACCCCCAAATCCAGTAAGTTGGGATCGAGTCGCGAGGAACCATGAAACCTTCGCACAACATAAACATACCGAACACACCAGCACCCAATGCGATACCGATAATGTAATGCGGCACGGCAGCTCCAATCACGTGCATCATTGACTCTGACACCACCAGCGACAAGAAAAGATTCAATAGAAAGTATTCGATCGCATTGAGACCCGCCAGTAGCACCACCAACGCCGTCGACATGGCCGCGATCAAGAAAATACCTGGCAGTGTCGCCAAAAAGTTGGCGCACACATAGCTCATCACACTCAGAGAACTGTTGGCACGTTCACGAGCAAATACAGCCCGCTGCTCAATGAAAAACGGTAATACTGCCACCGACATGAACACCAGGAACGCCTGTATGTAGAACAGCAGCGGCACCAGATCTTCCTCGCTCAGTTCATCATTTGTGCTCAAATACATGGTACCGACCATGAAGCTCAGGCAAAAGTACATGAACAATCGGATCCAGTAAATACCGGGGTTGCGAATGTTGTTCAAAGTGTTGCGATACATGAGAACGCTGAACTGTCGCATAGGGGACGACGGTCTCAGCTCGATGTCCGGTAGATGTTGTAGCAAAGCTCGGTCAGCAGCTAGTCGGTCTATTAGATTCGTCTTCACGTTGCTGTGGGCGTAGGCATCCGCGAGCTTCGTGACATCAACTTGGTCTTCAAAGTCTGTGTTCACCAGACTAATAAAGTACTCGGCCGGGTTCATATACCGCGGACAATCGTGGCCTATTGATGCAAAGTGCTGGATGATTTGACGACGAGGACCGCAGTACAATGTCCGACCGGCCGAGAGCACGACCACGTTCGTAAACATGGCGTAGACAAACGACGATGGTTGGTGAATTGTACACACAACGGTCTTGCCCTCGGCACAGACCTTGGCAATGAACTTCATAACATTTTGGGCAGAGCTGGAGTCAAGGCCGCTAGTCGGCTCATCAAGGATCAAGATGCTCGGATTGGACAGCAACTCGATGGCGATGCTAAGTCGCCGCTTTTGCCCACCCGAAAGTCCCTTCCTAAAGATGTCGCCGACTAATGTATTCCTGCATGGACCGAGTCCCATGGCGTCCATGACATTCTTGACTCGGGTGTGAATGTCCGTCATCACCACACTATTCGGGAGACTGAGTCTAGCCGCCATCTCCATGGTCTCTGTTACAGTGAATGACCCCAGTAGCGTGTCGTCTTGGGCCACGTAGCTCGTTACAGCACGAAACGTCTTAGTCACACGGCCAGTGCCGTTCAATTCGATGGTTCCGGTCACTTCTCCAGAACTCGTGCGATCAGCCAATAAGTCGACAAGTGTTGTCTTACCCGATCCGGAAGGCCCCATGATAGCGGTGAGCTCACCAGGAGCACAGCGTCCACTGACTCTGTCGAGAATGATTTTTTTGCCGTGCGGATTCTTGTCGGTCCTTTTCCCTCCTGGCACGGCATAACTGAGGTCGTCCCAACTAAGGACGCACGGGTTAATAAATTCTTCGTACTTGGCCGTGATATTTCGACAGTCGAGATTGTCGTTACCGGCATCGCCAGAATAGTCCGAGATGTCGTTCTGAGTATTCCGACCGCTTTCAAGCGTGTAATTGCTCTCACGTATCGACATTTCAAGCATAGGTGGCGATAATTCTGGCAGCATATCACTGTATAACACCACAGGTGAAAACGCCAAGTTGGTCGTGAACTTCAGGTTTGCACTAGCCTAATTGCAAAATGATTAATTGTTGTAGCAGTAAAGTAGCGGCCGCCTTTCCATTGCTTGGAAATCGTACTATAGAGATAGTGTCGATCACTTACCGATCATCTGCAATCGAGACTCTGCACGCACGAAGGATTAAGGTGGGTGGTCATTAGCTCGAAAGCAGGTCAGGCACATGATACAACGTGGCGATAGCAAGTGACGAGCGACACGACAGTATCAGTGCGTGAGACTTTCAATGAAATATTTTGTCGAGCACAAGGCATTCAAATCGACCATGAGGTGTCCATCTGGCAAGTTTACTGGCGTCGTAAGAACTTTTGTTAACAACTGCATTTGAAATCAGGAAGATGTGCTTACGTTTACAGGTTTCATCGATATGGTATTCTACTTTGGTGATAAGATACTCTGTATCGTATCAGAGTAACGTTAATCCATAGAGTCTTGGTCGTGCTGACTTCCGGCACCAAAACTTCAGGTTTGCGCTGCACTAGAGATTTGTATTCTCTCCTAATGTGTGCTAGCTCGTAGTCTGCGTGATGATATACATACGAAATGCAATCTGGAACAGCTACAGCTTAGGCTTGACTTGACGAATCAGGTCAAGCCTAAGTCGCTCGTTTACACGTTGACCTCGATTTTCTCCAAGCTGCTACGCTTGTCCATATCGTTGTAAATGACTAAAACATTGAAGCAACAGGACCATTCCCAGTGGCCTGGCTGTACAGGTGTGTGTATTTGTTGGGAGAAAGCGTCCCCACCCCATTATAGTAGGATGTGCCACCCTAAGAAGGACCTTTGCCGCCACAACCTGGTCCTAGACATAATTATCCGCTTGTTGTGTAGAGGTGGTAGCATGCAAGTCGTCTAAGTCAAGGATTGTAAAGTAGGCAGTTCTCGGCCACAAATTGCAGTATTTAGATAAGTAAACAGAGATTACAAGTCATCCACGCTAAGACGTGCAACATGTCTTGTGAGTTCATGATGTGGACGCCGAAAATAGCAATGCCCATGCCAAGCGCCAACTGTCAGACAACTGGTATGACGTCCTAGGAGATGATATTATTTGGCGTTTGTAATGAGTAAAGTGCATGGTTGCAAAACTCGAGACTGGAAGCGTATGCTGTACATACTGTGGAGTAAATTGCTAGCACGAGATATAAGAGACCATTGGTGAAGACTTCCAGAAGAACATTGGAACTACAAGCTTGAATTATCTACATTTCTGTACTGTCAGCATCGTCTATCGCAGTATTTAAACCGACCAATCCGAGAAAGCTAAAAGGTCCACTTCAAGTTGTACAACACGTCAATTGTCACGTTAGTTGAAACGCCTACTATTCTACAGCTCACTATGACTATTTAACTACGTCTCGATCACATTTGCTGATCTCTTTCCACGTCTTCGTCTTCGTCCTCATCTGTCCATCCGCAAGTGCTAATGCTGCTCTCCCACGTCGCATCCATCACTTCCTGAAACTGATTCATGTACTCGAGATTTACCTTGCAGTCCAGTGAGCAGAATCGACCAGCAGCACCAGCTAATGACGAGAGGGACGTGAAGAAAAGACGCTCACAGTTGGCACATCGCGACTGTAGTTGCCGCCATGGAGCTTCGTTGTACCCACTGTCAGGAGCTCCTTGACTTTGTGATCGCTGCACTCGCACAGACTCTGAAGATCGTACTGCAGACGGAGCAGAGCAACGAAGTCCGCTGGAGATTGCGATGTTTGCGCTGGCTTGGTGACATGAAGTCGTTGGGACCGGTCGTCCTGACCAAGACTTGGATCGCTGGTTTGCAATACGTCGCTTTCTGTGAAAGATAAACTGAATCATTCGTGACGCAAAGCTTGGTGACGATGCATCAACTTGTTGAGCTTGACTGTTAGTCGTCTTGTTAGCTTGCCGACAGACAGATTTGGGGTGTTTGCTTCGAATGCGTGATGTAAGAGTCATGATCTGTTGCTACGCTTTGTGTATAGTTGCTTCGAAAACTCGAACTGAAAACTAAGAAAAAGACTCGGGTGACTGAGTCGACTCAATGATCACATGCCTTGGCCACTTTGGACGAAACTGCCTACGATTTCACGGATTGGACTGCAATATTTGCGACGAGGTAAGCAAAAGCTCTGATTCAAAGACTCACTGTGTACCGACTCAGAGCTTGGCTGCTCGACGTCGTATGAGACATCTTGATTGTAGCATTATCGTTGATGTCGGTCGGTATCTGATGAGTCAATAGTTACGAACCAAGCGAGCTGCTTTTTCCATGAACCCAATCTAATCAAAATCAAATGGAGACACACAAACATCATGTTGGGCTGCTTGGTCACTGTGTACCGACGTGTATAGTTGCTTCGAAAACTCGAACTAAAAACTAAGCAAAAGACTCGGGTGACTGAGTCGACTCAATGATCAAATGCATTGGCCACCTACCTACCGAAGCCTGTGCAATTGCTGACGCCATTAAACCTCTGCATTGGAAACGCTATACGCTTCATGCCAACGGTCCGTCGTAATTGATGCTTACATTCTTTGTCGCCACTAGGTAGCGCCTCACCGCAATGTGAGCATTGAATGAAGACCCATCTATACTTGTGACAGACTGGTGTTGAGTATGCAATGCGCATATTGTGACGAACATGGAGCATTCACAGCTGAATAAGTCGTCAAGAGCTTGAAGGAATTGTGACAATGTTCTCGTGCTTGAAACGACCATGTAGACCGACTTAGACCTTAAATTAGTAAATATTTAGAAGTTGAACAACTTTCATATGACCACGCTGGAAATGCGACGTTCTCTATAAACACTGCCACGCTAACATTCTCAATGCTAATGAATCGATTTTGCGAGCACAGTTGATTGCTACCCGCTTAATCTGTTGCGATGACCAAGAATGTTGCCGCAGAATGGGAGCGTATCGTGTCGCAGAACACCGGTCAAACTCAGGAGGGGAATGCAGCATTCAAGAGTCCAGAATTTAACTCCTGGGTCTCCTTTGTGACGTAGACAGACAAACTGCTGCAATAAGAGACTCAAATGGCAGTTTGTGTATGTTTCGCAACTGATAAGACACGCCAAATCGCATGTAAAGAAATGCTCAGGGCATTGAGAAAAGAAGGCAATTGAAGACACGTAGATTCTCATTGATCAGAGTTACCTCATTCTTCTGTTGTAGTATCGACGCTTGGTCACACCAACTTCAATTTTTCATCGAAGACTCGGATTCATCCAGCATTTTGGTTCGTTTTGAAGAATCGGTGGCCACTGCAAGCGAGCTCGTACGCAACCTCTTACCCAGTCGCTTCTTCTCGTGTGACGTCTCCTCGACCTCCATCTCCACAGGTGACGTCTCCTCGAGCTCCATCTTCATGGGTAACTTCTCCTCAAGCAACTTTATCTGCTCAAACTCGTTCCTCATCTTATTGACGAACGTCTTCGTAACTTTGTCCTTTTTCTCAATGGCCGTCTTTTCTGATTGCTTGAGCATTCTTTCCACATCGGGGCCGTAATGTCTGTACAGCTGCAAAGCAAGCTCAACGTCGTCTTTGCGGTTTCTTCCCCTATTCAATTCTTTGACATATAAGGCCCAGGATTCGAATTCCGGACTCTCAAATACCGCATCTCCCTTCTTCTTTAGTTCCAAAAGGTTGAAAATGTCGTCCGGAGTTCGCTGTGCGATCCGCCACTCACTACGCTCCCATTTTCCGGCAATTTCCTTGGTACTCTCGACAGTTTTAGCTGTAGCGACCAACTTGGGCAGATCTTCGCTACGAAATCGATTCTTCAGCACTTCATATATAACCGTTGTGATCTCTCTTTGATCTTTTGATCGTTTTTGCTCCTCCAAGTAGGTCATATACGCAACCCACGCGTTCCAATCATCGGTTTCAAACATATATTTTCCTTTATCTGGAAACTCCAAAAGATCGAAAACATCGTCACCACTTTTCCCATCCCTCTGCCACCCCTCCGCCTGTGGATACTTCTTTAGACGCTTCAGTGATTTATAATTCTCTTGCATATGCAGCAGGGTCTGCCAAATTTTCAGATAAGTGCCATCAAATTTTGCCGCAGCAAGAATCGAATCTAGCTTTTTGTCACCCACGCGCTTCCTCATCGCCAACAGTAACACTTCATATGGATTTGGTCCCAGCAATTTAACAAAATTGATCCACGTACTCAGCAGTGGGTTTCTCAAAAGCGTATCTAGATGTTCATTGTTGAGTCCAAAGAGCTCAAAGCTGCGGATCAAACTTATTTCGCTTTCCTTCCAGATCTTCTTCGCCAATTTAGTTGCTAGTGGCCTGGTCCGATCGTCGGCTCCCCCCGCAACAAGCATATCTACTAGCTCTTTCTCACTGTAGCGCTTTATATAATGCGTGACAAACAGCTCGTATGGGTCTCTACCCATTTCTTTTAAATGATCGACCCATATATCCAGAGACGTACTCATCAAAACTTCGCTCTTATCCTTGCCATAAATTAGCAGATCCATAATGTTGTCCTCCTTTCCTTCTGATTCCCACTTTCGCAGCAGACCAAGTTCCAAATTGTTGGCAATTCCTTGCGTAGTTGATCGTTTTTTTCCGGCCTCTAACATGCTGACCACAGCGTCCTTCTCGAATGTACTTAGAAGCGTATTAACCTTAGCTTCTTCAGCCAAAATGGGTGCATTAGCCAAAACGTCTGCATCAGCCCCGGCTGCATGTTTATATGTTTCGTCCACAAAATTGGACCACATCGTAAATGTGTCACTCTTAAGCAGGTCTCCCCCGTTCCTGTATATTTCGATCTCGTCACCCATAATTTTCTTGAACTGATCAGTAAAAACGTCGTAAATATTTCCTAATCTGGCAGGGTCGACACCAGCCTCGACCGCTTCACCAATTTTTGCTAATGGAACGGGGTCAATGCCGGATGATCCAGGAATAACATCCGACTTTCCCGCTTCACTAACCTTTGCTGCTATACCTTGTTCTATGGCGGCGGACACTTCAGGGTTGACAGTATCGACCGATTTACCGACCTCTGCTGCTAAACCTTGGACTATGGGAGGTACATCCATACCTCTGTCTTCGTTTTCGTCGTCCATGCTCTCCGTCGTGTCCGAGTTTCTTCTCAAATATCGCTCCACTTGCGCATCGCTTTGGCCGACGGCACCAAGTTGTTGCTTAAGAGAAGCAGAACCAGCAAAAATGGTATTTGGCTTCACAATACTTGGACTAGCACTGACGCATGTCAGCGCTGCTAGCACCATGTACCACTGCAGACGCTTTGGCAGGTTGAGGTTAGCGATCATGCTTAAAAATATATCGTCAACGGAGTCCTGGGGTTCTAGAAGCGAATAGCAAAGTGAGAACCAACAACTGCAGCAATTAGTTTGGCTTTGCAAATAGTCAGCTGTATTGGAAGAACTGTCATATGTTTGTGTGTCGACAGGTAGGCACATCTGTAGAGGATCACGAATTACGTCAGTGATGTGTGTGTCGTGAAAAGGACAACTTGCATGGACAGTGTTCTTCGAATGATCTGGATTGTGTGATCAGTTTATGAAGGGTTTATACATTTACTTTAGTAGTAGTTTAACTCTTAATACTACTTTTCATTTGGCAGCACAGTGAAGTAGTTGAGCTATCGTTACAGGTTATGAGCCCAAATACGTTGGCTCCTAATGACATCCTCACGGATGACAATTACTTCATGTGGGAATTTAATGCACGCATGACACTCGCGCGCAAGGATCTTTTGGATCACGTTTTGATTAAGCCAGAGCTGACAGTGCTGCGGGAGAATCCCGGATGGATAGTCGCCGATATGAAGGCTCTGGCTGTACTGGTGAAGCTACTCTCTCCAACCTATCAGTGCATGGTTCGGGAATGTGAGTCTGCGTTTGAAGCTTGGGAGGTTCTGAAGACGTTCTTTGCGAAGAAAAATCTTCACAACCGAGTGCAACTTCGGAAAGAATTACATGAATTTGTGATGGAGACTGGTGCGAGTCTTATGGACCATCTACTAGAATTTGATGAGCTGTGTCTCAAGCTCGGAGCTGCCGGTGACAGCTGGATGATGATGAAAGATAGTTTTGCTTTTGGGAAGTTTATCATCCGAATATGATGATATGGTGCGCATCATTGAGGCGCACAGCAACGTGACGCTGTTAGACGCAAAAGAGATGCTCCGCCGGGAGTATGACATTCTTCAGAAGCGAGACAAGAAGGAAACCGCTTTTAAGGCACACGCTCAACGTAATGAACCTCGACGCTTTCAAAGTAACCGAGGACACCGTGGTCAAGAAGAAAATCGAGATCGCTACCAAACTTCGAGGAAAGGAAAAGCTTATGCGAGTTTTCAAGGCAAATGCTTTGCGTGTGGCCGACATGGACACAAGAGATCGCAGTGTCGTAACGTGAAACCATCGAGACCTGGTGATGAATTCGTTTTTTCGGCATTCAGTGAAGAACCAATTTCGAATTCAACTTGGTTGCTGGATAGTGGGGCAAGTCGTCATATGACTGATGACAAGCGTGAATTTGTGGAATACGAAGATTTAAGTACCCCAATTTACATCACTGTGGCAAATGGACATCAGTTGAAGGCGCAAGGAACAGGCAAAGTTCGATTTATACTCGAAAATGGTCGTACAGTCAAACTTACGGAGGTGTTGTATGTGCCTGGGCTAGACAAGAAACTTGTGTCTGTAGCAGCGTTGACGGCCCGAGGCGTAAGACCGTACTTACACAGGATCATTTCTATAGTACCGAGGCGTGCTTGTTCAGTTCAAGCGTGATCAAGCAGTTTTGATAAGTGACGACGTGACTGTAGCAGTAATTAAACGAGTGGGAAAGCTGTTTGCGTGGAATGTAAAACAACATATCACGTTAGAGGCACACAAGGCTGAGAGCAATGGTGCGATAAATGACACTAGTGGACTGTGGCATGCTCGCCTCGTTCATGTGTCTACGAAAAAGATTATGCAAGCGATGAAGTCTTGCGATGGTATTTCGAGAGTTGTCGCATCTGATGGCGGTGTATGTGATGGATGTGCACGCGGAAAAATGACAAACAGCCCGTTCAGTCATACTTCAGGAAGTGAAGTTAAAACAAGTCGACCACTTGAGGTTGTACACACCGATCTTATGGGACCTATGAATCCGAAGTCGAAAGGTGGGGCTCTATATGTACTCACATTTATCGATGACTACAGTCGATTTGTCTACGTATATTTGCTAGCAGCAAAGTCCCAAGTTTTTGAGCGATTTAAGGCGTTTCGTGCTGTGGTGGAGAAGCAAACGGATTGCAAGATTAAATGCATCCGTAGTGACAATGGTGGAGAGTATACGAATCATCGCTTTCACAAGTACTGTGCAGATCTAGGGATTATCCACCAGAGGAGCGTGCCGTACAATCCTCAACAAAACGGCTTAGCAGAAAGGATGAATCGAACTCTTGGTTGAGATGGCCCGATCAATGATATATCACATGGAAGTTGATCGTTCTTGGTGGGGTGAGGCGATTATGGCGGCTGCTTACACCATCAATCGAATTCCTAATACTGCGCGACCCAACGTTAGTCCATTTGAAACTCTGTATGGGTCGAAGCCAGACTTAAGTCATTTCCGTGTCTTTGGTTCGACTGGTTATCTACGAGTCGCGGATTGCAAGCGCACTAAATGGGACAGCAAGGCAAACAAGTGTATTTTTCTCGGGTATTCGGAAAATTCAAAGGCGTACCGAGTGTGGGATATTGCGAGAGGACAATCGGTTACGACTAGGTCCGTTACGCTAAACGAGAGTCCTCCTTCGCGGTACAAAGATGTTGTTGTTTTAGGTGAACCTTTAGCTCAATGCAATCATTATCATGATGATTTAGACGAAGTAAAGGTGGAAGTACCTGATTTGAACAAGAATAACGAGGATGACGAAATGGACGTTGATGAAACTGCTGACAATGATACTAGTTGGGAAGACATGGTTGTGGATGCGTCTGGAGATCTCAATCAGTCACAAAACTTAGATGTTGTTCCGATTGAGAGGGAGCGCACAGACATACAAGTCATTGACACAAAACAATTCGATGATACGTCGTACTTCACACGGATCGGTCGCTGGAAGTAGCAATAATGGTACACACATGCTCTCAGGAATACCTGATCAGTCGCGAGCTATTATAGTTTGTGAGAATTACCGTGCCCCAGATGATCGAATGGAGATATACTCAGGGTCGAACAAAAGACCTTATAGTACATTCACGTCATCTCGTCTACTCACGAATGATGATTTTGACGATGAGAGGATTGATCTACCGCTTTTAACTGATGGATCACCTGTCGATGGCGAAAATGATGAGCCGGACTCTAAACGTCAATGTGTTGACGATTACGAAATATCGCTTTCTGCTACTGATGTACCAATAAATTTACGAGAGGCGTTACAGTCGATGGACGCAGAAAAATGGAAGGCAGCAATTCAAGCAGAAATTAATGCTCATCTTAAGAACTACACATGGGATGCTGTCAATCGTCCTCCAGGTGTCAAGGTCATTGGTCACAAGTGGGTATTTGGTTACAAGTACGATGACAACGGTCAAATTGTTCGTTACAAAGCACGCTTGGTTGCCCTCGGATATCTGCAAACGCATGGTTTTGATTACTTCGACACATATTCACCTGTAGCATGCTCAAACACGATTCGTGTATTTTTGTCTGTTTGTTGCAGTATGCAATATGTAATTCGACAATTTGACGTGGAAACGGCGTTTTTGAATGGTGATTTGGAAGAAGACGTTTACATGGAGGCACCATATGGAATTGAAATTGCACCTGGAATGGTGTGCAAATTACGACGCAGCTTATATGGATTACAACAAGCGGCTGCGGTTTGGCACAAGAAAATATGCTCTGTGTTTTCGGCCATGGGCTTCGAACAATGTCGAGCAGACACATGTCTTTTTGTTCGACGCAATAATGCAAAAAATAAGTCACCCACATACATAGTCTTGTATGTGGACGACCTCCTTATTGGATGCAAGTCAGATGCAGAGGCGGACACGATTTATAAGGAATTGTCAGAACATTTTACTGTCAAGTCACTTGGAGCTGCGCGGTTTATTTTGGGCATGGAAGTTAACTACTCACAAGAAAAGGGGGAGCTGGTGTTGAAACAGTCCCAATTTATTATGAAGGTGGTCTCGAAGTTTAAGCAAAATGAAGCTTATGCAGTTCGCAACCCTATCTGCGCAGGACAGGACCTAACTCCGGATGAATCACACCCAGTGGTTAAAGACATTACTTCGTATCGCAAATTGGTCGGCTCGCTGCTGTATATTGCGAATGCAACGCGACCGGACATAAGCTACGCGATGTCAGTATTATCGCAGTACTTGGACCAGCCACGACAGATGCACTGGCGAGCGGCTTTACGTGTTTTACACTATCTCATGGGAACAAAATCGCACGGAATTAAGTATAACAAATCGGACGACAAAAAGATGATGCTTTGGGCATACTGTGACGCGAATTGGGGAAATGATAAGAAAAATCGTCCATCTACGTCTGGAGTGTTGATTTTACTCGGAGGTGCAGCTGTCGTATACAAAAGCAAACGCCAAAGTTCGGTGGCTTTATCCTCTGCTGAAGCGGAATATATGGCACTGGCACTAGCTACGCAAGAAGTTATGTGGATTCGTTATTTGCTGAAAGAGATGGGTGTCACATGTAAGACTGCGACTACAGTGCACATGGACAACAAGTCGGCTATAAGTATTGCGACGAATCAGGGATATACTCCAAGAGCTAAGCACATTGACCTTAGGATGCATTTTGTTCGAGACCACATTGAGCAAGGTGATATCCAGCTCAAACATGTTCCGTCAGCTATGCAACTTGCTGATTACCTGACGAAGCCGCTTGGTGCTCCACAATTGATGCGACTACGCGATGAAACTGGAATTCGCGAGAGTGCAAGTTGAAGGGAGTGTAGAGGATCACGAATTACGTCAGTGATGTGTGTGTCGTGAAAAGGACAACTTGCATGGACAGTGTTCTTCGAATGATCTGGATTGTGTGATCAGTTTATGAAGGGTTTATACATTTACTTTAGTAGTAGTTTAGCTCTTAATACTACTTTTCATTTGGCAGCACAGTGAAGTAGTTGAGCTATCGTTACAACATCAAGCATATCAACAGTTCTTCTAGAACAGCTGAATGAGTTGTAAACAAACGAAAGTGTAGTTATCTAGCGACTGACGGAACAAACTTCCGATACATGTACTGACAGCTTACATTTTCTTCTACACATGCCCTATGTAAGCAAAGAAACCATTATAAACGTAATAAGCGCAGGTTTACTGATGATCCGTGTTTAACGTTTTGACAAGGAAACGAAAGCTCAGTGATATAGCTTCGTGTAGTGCATTATATGGTAGCCACCATACGTGACGTCACATGGGAGTCAGGTCCGTTGATATCTGCAGCCACATTTAGCCAGCGTACGATGAGGATGAGTACCTTAACTAGTAGATAGGCACACCCTGAACCGCATGTTGATTGAGCACAGGCTAAACATAGATTACTTTTGCGCAAGGTTCGCTGTGATACTCGACATACTGCCCCTCTTTTTGCGGTCTTCCATTAATGGAAGGGGGTTTGTTGACAATTTGACGATGTATATGGAGATAGATGCGAGTTGAAGGCATTTATTTTCAGCTTTGCAGCTCGGCTAGAGCCGTCACTAATTGCTGGTTGTTCATGTCAGAAGTTGTAGTTGAAGTGCATATAACGCGTTCACAATATGTATCATCCATTACACTGCTGTAGGGAAAATACTTCATGCGTGTCGCGTGGAGACAGAGCAGGGGTTGCAGAAAATATAGGATGTTGTACAACGCCATAATGAATAAGCTGCAAGTTGTTTGGTGATCTTGTTTCGTCTACCTTGACACCGCTAATGCCGAAGCTGCATTTTTTGATGATCCCGTGCGTCGCTCATATAAATTATAGCTGGCAAAAGTTGTGTTTTATTCGAGCCACTATACGCTGAGGGTGATTCGTTAGACCTGCCCCAATTCAGACCGAAAGGCCCTAATAAGCTGAGTCAAACCCTGGATCAATGTCGGTCCAATCCGCTGTGTGACCTTGAATAGTCCTGACGCGAGTCTGCTTGCACTGTTTGCAAGATAGCACTGAAGCCGTCCAAGCTCCCATCGTTCTCCTATCCAGTGGCAGATGAGCTTCTGCCAGCAGGCTTGCATGCACGGCATGTCCAGTAGATGTGATACCATTGTTTTTTTCACTCCTTGGCAGCATTGAATCTTGCAGCAAATGTTATCATGCCCTTAGTTTGGATAAAGGATATTCAGTTACTCCAGATGCGTGCTGTATGAGTCATGATCTGCTGTATAGTTACTTTGTGAGGGCGGCAAATTGAAAACTAAGAAAAAGACTCGAGTGACTGAGTCGACTCAATGATCAAATGCCTTGGCCACTTTGGACGAAACTGCCTACGATTTCACGGATTGGACTGCAATATTTGCGACGAGGGAAGCAAAAGCTCTGATGCAAAGACTCACTGTGTACCGACTCAGAGCTTGGCTGCTCGACGTCGTATGAGACATCTTGATTGTAGCATTATCGTTGATGTCGGTCGGTATCTGATGAGTCAATAGTTACGAACCAAGCGAGCTGCTTTTTCCATGAACCCGTTGTAATCAAAATCAAATGGAGACACACAATTATCATGTTGGGTTGGCAGAGGTAGAAGCTCAGTTGGGAGTCCGTTCGGTCGTCACGCCGGCGACTGTAAATTGCATGGCTATGGCAATAGTACAGGCGGCAGCAGACGCAACTTTGGACGGACCAGGAAACACACTGGAGCTGCTAACTGCCAGCCTTAAACGAGGCATCAAATTTTCAGGGCTGTTAGATCTAGAAGGTCAACTCGCCCATGACCATCGAGTGAAGGCGCTTGCTAATGTTAAGCGAGGATGGACCTCCATGACGAGACAAGAGTTGGCCACACAAATGCGTTGGTTCCTCGAGGATTTTGCTAACAGCTCTTCCAACAGAGCAGTGGAAGTAAGTGACGACACTTGGGGGGAAGTGACACGGTCGGCATGGCAGCTAGTTTTTTGCAACGGAAAATTTATATACTGCAGCAATCAGATGGCCCGAAACAGGGGTGGCAGTGCAAAAAATTTATACCAACCACGATCACACGCAATCGACGAGTTTTAGAGACAGCTGCGGAATATACACTGTCACTGATGGATTTAATAGACGAAGTCGTGGCAGCCAAGATCGAGAATCCCGGACAACCACCCCTGCTGCTGCATTTCTGGGGACGACATTACTCGGCGCTTCTCCATACTGGTCGCACCAGACAGCTCCCAGACTTTGCGGAGGAAGTGGAATGTAAGACTCCGGTTTCGACTGAGGACCTTCCTGCGGTAACGCACGCAAACTCGAGTAAGCCACACCTAGCGCTGAGGACGGCACCGGTGGATGCTCCGATGGAAGATCCATGGGACCCAGATTCTTGGAATGGTACACCAGACGCGGCTTGGGCCGCGTTACAGGGATGCTCGGTGCACCCCGATTTACACCACGATCTCCACGTGCTCTTTAGAATTGACGAGCCAACGCGGTCTCGGGACCTCATTAAAGGGGTAGTAACGGCAGCGATGACAATGGCACTGCCGGCTCAGCAACAGTTTGCAGCGGTATTAAGGGGGGCGGAAGGCGAGGAGGCCGAACTCGCTCTAACTCAGCGCATGCAGATTACGAAAGAAAGGTTGAGGCTTTGGCAATGCCAGCTTCAAGCGGCGGGCCACATGGCTCTTAACCTCGACCGTCGCTGTTTTCCTCCGGCCAGGGAAATCGCAGGTTTACTGACAAATGGCAACGGTCCTCATGATATGTCGAACACAAGCCGCACCTCAGTAGGGGAGTGTCAAGCTCTGGTACAGCACCAACCTACAGTGGGTCAAGATTTCAGTTCACTGGGCGTGCACGAGGTTTTACCAGCACTCCCCACCACGCCTCCGGCGGGGGTACGAGACACTTCAGATGGTGCTCGAAAAAGAGGCCATTTAGCCTCCCCAGACGAACGGATAGTAACTG